AGCTCAGCAGCACGTTGCTTCAATACTGGACTGCAACCACTCTGGATGACAAGAAGAAGCTTTGCTGCAAGACCAGCATCCACAGCTATTGATGAGCATTCATCTGGGGATAGTTTGCACACAGACCACAAGATCGAAAGTGCATATTCTGTACAGCTTTCCGAAACTCTCATAAGTAGTTTGACCATAATCGGTACAGTGTATGAACAATCCTTCAAAGCTTGTCTACCTTCAGGGACAGACGACAGGACATCTAAAATGAAAAGAGCTAATTCCAAGCTATCTGGACTCAAGCCAGATAACAGTTCCATCAATTGAGGAATAGCACCAATGCTCACAATTAAACTCCTAACTTTATCGTGTAAACAAATTGATTTGAGAAGGCCAAGCCCGGATAAATGTCCATTAGGATGTCTCTTATCTCGCACCAGTCGTATCAAAGCAACCAACAAGCTATGGCTAGAGAATATTTCCACTTCAAAATCCTTCTCTTCCATCAGTTTTTCAATTAACCTAACACAATTGACTTTCGTTTCAATAGATCCTTCATTCAAAATATCGACAATTGATGATACCTTTGCAGGCTGCATCAAATTCGTTTTCGACTCAGAATCTAGAGTCAAGTTCACAAGAATTGCTATAACTTCAGAGCCTACAGCATACGAAGTAAATGGACCAAGTAAAGATGAAAGAAGAACAACTCCACCTTCGTCAACCACAGACTTCCTAGCAGTGGCATGATCCTTCACAACTTGTTGAAGTTCGTTAAGGGCTTGAATTCTAGCCTGACCTTTTGCCTTCTTCAGAGTATTGAGAAGCTCCGTTGCCCTTCCCTGTGCATCCTCAGACCTTTTCTTCATTTGCAAATACTTCTGAGAGAACCAAGTATAGATTAAATGATTAAGAGTCCTGTTTGGAGTTACTGTATCATCCCAAAGTTCTTGCATTGTAGTGGGACAAGTGTAGTGCCCCAAACTGAACCATTTGAGAATGTTGGATTTCTCATAGGTTTGCCCAGTGCAAAGAGTCACAGGGTCTTGCATTGGTTCAAGAGAAATGGGACAGATAAACACTGGTGGAACTTCAGGCAAATTTAGCTCTTCTATCATTTTCTTCAGATCCAATTTTTCTCCTACCCCTCCACCGAAACCCCCAACTGCAACTTCACCCAAGACTCCATTTTTTACTGCAGTGTCTAGATCTAAGATATGCCCACCCTCAAACCCAACCAGCCCATCCCTCTTTGAAGGCTGATACATAGGCATTTTGTCGAACACCTACTCTCAAATGACCCAATTACTGATGACACAAACCCCTGGTAAAAAAACTCTCCAAAATATCCACATCAACAGCCTCTCAAGAAAGCACATTAAAATCTAACAACTACGCACGAGAGGTGAAAAAAAAATGAAAATTCCCGGAAAGGGCTACAATGTTCGCTTTCAAAGGGTAAACCTTCTCTCTCTCTAATTTCACTTTATCTAGTTTTCTCTTTTCGTGGTCAAAAGACTCATCACCATCATCATATAACAAATCATAGTGTATTCAAAATCAACACTCTTCCCAAAAAAAATAAATCTTTCTTCCCATTCAAGCCTCAAAAAAGAGTTAAATCATGGAAAAAAAAAGATGGGTCTCCATGTAAATCTGGACACAAAAATATCAAATATTCAACAAAAATACAACACGAGTGAAGAAAAAAGTTGATACCCAGACCAAATATAACTGAAGATGAGGATTCAAAGGGCAGAAAAGAAAGAAATAGAGAAGAAGACTGAAGTTTCCTGCAAAGGCTCCTCTCTGCTGAGGGGTCTACTTTTTTCCTTGGTATTGGGGCCAGAAACAAACAATGCTGCTTGGAGTCTTGAAAAATAAAGCAATGATTTGTGGGAAAAATTATCGTCTTGGAATAGCCAAATATTCGAAAGATTGGAGTCTCAATAAATAATTTAATAAAAAAATATTTTACATTTAAACACTTAGACCACCGTGACAGTTTTGCTTTGACCGTACTCCTCGGCCTTTTCCCGTGCGGCTTTGACTGGACAGCTTTTGCCCGGTGATGTGTTCCACCGTTATCCAGATATTTTGAATTTATTCTTAATTCTTTAATTTCCAAAAAAATGCATTTTACTTAGAGCTACGTAACAAAACATCGTCAAATCGAAATTCATTTTTAAGTCCTTGTTTGGCCTATTTTTATAAAATTCATTTATTAATTACACATTTTATGAAATTTATAATTTTTATCAACTTTTCATTCATACATTTCATCACTTTTTATCAAAATTTATTAAAAATATAATTTTTATCTAGACCAAATAGGGGCTAAATCTTCGATATGATGTCAAGGGCCCTATCGATGTGATGATTTTAATTTAAGAGTCTGTTTGGTAAAGATTAAAATCGGATTAAAATTGAAAAACTAGCCGTTATTGTTTACTTTTATTAGACGAGTGGGGTCCAATAACGACTATATTTTCAATTTTAATTGGATTTTAATCGATACCAAATGTGCCCTAAGAGCACGTATGATGTGGATTTTTAAAAATAGATTTTGTTAAAAAATAATAATAATTTTTTTAGAACGTGTTATTGAAACGTAAAAATTATGAATTCAAGTGCAATATTATTTTACTTTGAAAATATGTGGTTGAAAGTGAATTTTGAAAAACTTTAGAAAATTTCTACCAAGCATGCCCAGATCTATGCTTGACTCATGTTTGTAAACTGTTTCTGAATATTGAAATCACTTTTTATCCACATATTTTGACAGATATACAATTACTATCCACTTATCCATTATTAAGGCACCGTTTGGTAACCATTATTCTAGAAAAAAATGCGTTCTTTGTGTCAAATCACACTTTTTTGGTGGTTGAAAATGAAGGAAAAGTTATTGATGTGATGGAAAATATTATTTTATTGAATGTGTGGTTGAAAATTAGTAGAAGAATGAGAATGAAAAAAAGAATGGATACCAAACAGAGGCTAATTCTATGTATTTATAATTATTCCAAATGTGCTCAAAACAATTTGGTTTAAGTTTCAATTTTCTAAATGCTATTTAAAATCAAACAGAACCATTTAAAAATAAAAAATATTTTATGTCGAAAATTGTTCGAAATTATCATATGTTTGATAAATTACAATTTTAATCTCCAAATTATGATATAAATATCAAAATTCTGACTCGGCAATTTGGTTGTCAATTACCAATAATTATCCTAAATTAATAATCCAATCAATCAATCGTCAAAATTGATCGCTCATAGTTCTATTTCATACATCAAACCTCTCCATGCCCAAAATGCATTGCAGCTTGAAGATATTGTATTCTTGTCGACGAGTATCAAGTTGTATTTTGAATTTATATTTTATTTAATAAAATTTTATTTCTGACTTATTTTGTACAGTTTTTTTAGTTAAAAGTGAAAATAACACTTTGTTTTAATTTTTACATTGAATTTATTGTAGTTTGTCGTAGTGGTTGCAAACGAGCTCGTCGGCTCAAGTTGGCTATGGTTCAACTAGGAAAAAGTCCAAATCGAACCAATTCGAAGATCGTTTCTACGAGCCAAGGCTCGGGCTAATCATAAATGAGATAAGGCCTGAGCCCGGATCAACTCGCGAGCCGCATGAACCAAAGTATGTGTCAGCGTGTATGTGAGCCTATATGTCTCGCCTTTTATGCCTTCAAGCCACTTGCATAATTAAGGATATATGCAACAATAGTCCTAAGGAGATATTAGATGTCCTATAATTTTTAGATAAGCAATCCCAACCTTTTTTGGTCGAACTCATCATCGCTAATCTCGTATATTCAACCTCAATTAGTATCCCTTGTCCTTAGTTTTCTGTTTTCAAAGTGTTTTAACTTATTTTTCATGTCCAAGCACGTAAATGAGTTCATTGAGGGACACGAGAACTCATGCACCGTCGAGCTCAATAAGGAAGGAACCCATTGTAGTGGTCAAAGACGATGTCCAATAGGTGAAATGGTCTCGAATTTCCGACCTACCTCGACAAGAAACTACTGCACCTCCCGCACTGGCTAGCTGGGGCTCTTCCTTGCCATGTCTAGATCCGCAAAGGTCCAACCTAGACTATCTCAAAAAACAACATTTGAAGATTTTTCTTGATTTTCTGCTTAGAGATGGCAATTTTTTCCCGCCCCACCCCGCCCCGCCCCGCCGAGCCCAGCCCAATCTTGTCCTCGCAGGGCCCCACCCTGAACAGGTTGGTGGGGAGGGGCGAGTTTCCCCGTCCGTCTCAGGTTGCCCCCGTTAAGAATTAAAAAAAAAAAAATTTGGACATTGCTTGTTTTGCACATTTTTTTTTTTGAGTGCTTACTTTGGATATTGATGTAGTTGGTTTGAACATTATTTGTTTTGGATTTTAATATGAGAACAATACACAAATAAGGTATTTACTTTCGCTCATTTCAAAAATCCAAAAACAAATTTGAAAATTCACAACGCGGGTTTTTTTAAATTTTAATTAAAAACACCACGATCTCAACACTAAGGAACCAGACAA